TATTTCTTATTCGGAAAGTGGTAGATATCAAACGCAGAAAAGGTGCATATTATATATGCACAACTGATACAAATTCTTATTTCTATGAAAAAAATTTGTTCAATGAACTTTCAAAAAATAAGAACTTGTTTAACTTAAATTAACTTTATACGTTTAGAAAACAAAGAAAATCATGTTTTTTCTCTCTATCACATATATTGAAGCCCACATTTAGATCCGACTGATGACAGTTCTTCACAGTTTCCGATAATGGCCGAGAAGAGAAATTATGACGATAGCAGTGGGGAGAACGTAAACGTAAGTAATAATCATTGGCAGTCAGACGTGTGACTTTGCTATGGTCAAGATAGTTGATGGAGCAGATTTAGGAGGGTCTGCGATCGAATCCTGATGTTGTAGAGTGAAACTCCCCTTCAAAGTGAAACTTCCACCGGAAGTCTCGCTCTGGAGTAAGCCTTCCACCATATAAAGGGGAATATCTCGCTCTGTAGTTACACGTCTCCATCAGAGACATTATTCACTCAAAAGTCTCAAACCGTAATAAGAACAGAAAATGGATATTCACTTAAGAGTCGTACGTACTGAGTGTTATTATCCCCTTTGGAGGGTGCTAAATCTAGATCAATTTTCCTTACAGAGGATATGGTCTAAAGTGGGACTCTTCTCGTTAAATTCCATTTTCGCTGTTTTATTCTTGACCGTGGGAAGTGTCACTCTACAAAAGACTTCAAAGGGGAAGTCTGACTATGGTTAAGGACATATGCAAAGTACCTTACCTACTAATATATTTTCAAGATATTCTAAATTTTAACTTATAATACCATTACATGTTCTTAGACAAAAAATCAACATGCGGTTCCAGGGGTTTTGAAAAGATGTCAAATTATGAAAAATTTTTATTTTTTCAAAGAAAATGTCAAAAACAACAAAACATAAATCCCAGATTTCTTTTCATCACCAATTGTTTTAGAAGAGGTGTAGAAATCCATTAATAGACATTAAAAGTATTGCACACAAGTCCTCCAATTAGTCGAACTCTTCAGCTCCATAGAAGAACCCATTCAAGTTCAAACTACGTTGCATATGACCTTAAGTATTGATCTACAACAAAAGTTTGGTATGTCGCATAAAAATGCGTCACTCTAGAGCAATATTTTAAGGTGTCAATATTGTTTGTTGAAATAGTGTACATGTTATAGTAAATATATGAAATCAAACATACACACACTGATTACCTTCCAGATCTTTACATTGCATATGTTCTTTTTTTATCCTAGATTATCATTGTTACACATTTAAAAAATAGTTCATTAAAATTAAAAGTAAAAAATAACAAAATAAAGGTTTAATACAGTTGATCCCGAAAACTGTATTTAGATGTGTTTTTACTGATTCAAATAAAATAATCTTTGAAGTAAAAAACTGTCCTTTCATCCTTAAATTCATTTGCACATCTAATCAATCGATGCTTTTAATTTTATTGACGAGAGTTGCCAATCATATCGATGAGAACAGTAAGTATCTTGGTATGCAAAATAAATGAATAGAATTCTACCATTAGAGACATATTCATTAAACTTAAACTTAGTAAACAATTCCTTAGAAGTCGCCCGCTTGGTGCAGTGGTATTCGTGTTTACTCTTGAGTATTTAGTAAGTACATGTAATTGATCCTTATGTCACAAATGTTTCCTTGTCGCTTTCTTACATTGTACTACAACCGAGACAAAATGTGCGGAGTTTACGGTTAGTTACAGATTATCTTGTATATTCGTATATTTTCCCTACTGCAGACGTCGAAATCCTTGAGTAAGCTTAGACTTACGTGTCACGGATGACCCCGAAACATCACGAAAGTCTATACGGTGGTCACACGGTAGGCATGCAGTACGGGGTAACTACAATATGCAAGAAATAAAGTTTCATCGCGGTTTTCAACGACTGTTTTGAACAGTTCAAAACAGTCGTAGCAATTAACGGGTCGTTCATGAGTAATCCGAGTTAACAGGGTTCACCACAGTAATACTGTATAGGGGGAAAATAACTCGCGGTGTTAATATTCGCTATATTCACGGTGTTGATGAATCCGTGAATTCAAGAAACAGCGAATAAGTTTTAAATATGTATAGATAAGGGAGGAAACTTTTATTACATAACCAATCACGCGAATTCAAGAAACCGCGAAAGTGTCAGAGAAGAGAAAAACGTGAAAATTAGAACCCGTGAAATTAATCCCCTATACAGTAATAACGGACTGACTGCGGATGTCTAAGAATTTTCACGGATCCCCAAATCGTAGCTTACCGTGATCTAAATTCGTGACAGTGTGACTGGGGCTTTATAAGTAATTTATCAAATTTACGCTCACATTGAACATTATATAGAGATTTTAAATATAAGTCACATTTACAGTAAAGGCTATGGCGACAACGAACAGTATTCAAAGCATAGTCCAAAAACAAAACAAAACTAGTGCTAAATGTAACGAGAACCGTTACAGATGTTCCCCAAACGCTCCCCAACTCCCTTCTCGTGCCATATTCCCTGTAAGTTTCATTAAAGAAGGCAAAATCAATGCATTTAAGACGTAAACAACGTGTTTCCAAAAGTATACCAAGTATTTCAAATTTAAGCAATGCAGGCGTGTGCATGTTATTGCATGAGCGTAATGACGATATCATCTTGTCTACACTATTTTACTCATTTGCACGTGCACGCACGTGCATGATGACCATAACTTCTTGTAGAAGTCTATTATGTCTGTCTATGTTCTTAATCCCATCCTGTTTGGTTGAAAAACAAGGGAGTTATAGCCATTTAAAGTTTAAGCCAATCAGATTGCAGCGCACGTGCATGCGCGTATTTTCATGACAATTATTATATATCATATTGTAGGACATCTTAAAGTATGCTTATGTTTTAAATTTCAAAGCATTTTGTAAAAAAACAGAAAAGATATTGAGATTTTTGTTTCAGCCAATCAGAGCAAAGCGCACATGCACGCACATGCATGTATGTGAATGGTGACCATACCATCCTCTAGGAGTCCTTTATGTCTATCTAAGTTGTAAATCCCATGCTGTTTGGTTGAAAACCAAGGGAGTTATACTCATTTAAAGTTTCAGCCAATCAGATTGCAGCACACGCGCATGCGCGTGATTTCATGAAAAATTTTATGTATCATATTGTAGTACATCCTAATGCATGTCTATGTTAGAAATTTCAAAGCATTTCATCATAAAACAAAAAAGATATTGAGATTTCTGTTTCAGCCAATCAGAGCAAAGCGCACGTGCATGCGCGTGAGTTCATGCAAATTTGACCATGTCATCTTATCTACACAACTTATATATCTTTATATAATGAGTTTCAAAACATTTTATCAAAAAATGTAAAAGTTACAACCATATTAAATATATCAGTCATTTTACTCATTGCACGCGCCCGCACGTGCATGCGAATGCGCGCAAAATGACCTTCGTTCGGCACATCTACACAACATGCCTACTAACCCTAAAAAGGTTTTAACTTAGTTTGGTGAACAGTTTCTGAGAACACTTCCGGACAAAAAAGTACCGGAGAAGAAATAAGAAGAAAAAAGAATAATAACTAGTGCTAATTGTAACGGGAACCGTTACAGATGTTCCCCAAACGCTCCCCAACTCCCTTTTTGTGCCACATTCCCTGTAAGCTTCATTAAATAAGGCAAACTATATGCATTTAAGACTTAAATAACGTTTTTCCAGAAGTATACCAAGTATATTCAAATTTTCAAATTTTAGCATAGCACGCGTGCGCATGTGAATACGTATGCGTAATGACGATATCATCTTGTCTACACTATTTAGAAATCTTGATTCACTAAATATTGAAGCATTTAATCCAAAAGCATTAAAAAAAACGCTCATTCAAGTGTATTTTTAATTTTACTAATTTCACGTGCACGCACGTGCATACATGTGCATGATGACCATACCTTCTTGTAGGATTTATTATGTCTGCCTACGGTCTAAATCCCATCCTGTTTGGTTGAAAAACAAGGGAGTTACAGCCATTTAAAGTTTAAGCCAATCAGATTGCAGCGCACGTGCATGCGCATGTATTTATGAAAATTGTTATATATCATATTGTAGGATATCTTAATGCATGCCTATGTTTAAAATTTCATAGCATTTCGTCAAAAATCGAAAAAGATATTGAGATTTTTGTTTCAGCCAATCAGAGCAAAGCGCATGTGCACGCACGTGCATGCAAATGTATGACGACCATGCTATCTTGTAGTAGTCCATTGTGTCTGTCTATGTTCTAAATCCCATCTTATTTGGTTGCAAAACAAGGGAGTTACAGCCATTTAAAGTTTAAGCCAATCAGATTGCAGCGCACGTGCATGCGCGTGTTTTCATGATAATTGCTATATACACTGTATCATGTTGTAGGATATCCTAATGCATGGCTATGTATAAAATTTCAAAGGATTTCTTCATAAAACAAGAAAGATATTGAGACTTTAGTTTCAGCCAATCAGAGCGAAGCGCACGTGCATGCGCGTGAGATCTTGCTATTTTGACCATGTCATATTGTCTATGCTTCTAATATATCCTAATATTATGAGTTTCAAAGCATTTCATCAAAAATGTAAAAAGTTACGCCTATATCAATTAAATTGGTCATTTCACGTGTTGCACGTGCGCGCTCTTGCAAGCACGTGCGCGCAAAATGACCTTTGTTCCGCAAATCTACATAACATGCCTACTGACCCTAAAAAGGTTTTACCTAAGTCGGATGTGTAGTTTACAAGATCACTCCCGGACAAAAAAGTACCCAGGAAGAAGAAGAAGAAGAAAAATAATAATAATAAGAAACAGAGTAAAAACAATATGTTCCCCAACTTCGTTTGGGGAACATAACTAGGTACGATCTCGTTGCGAGCAACGAGTGGGTCTTCCGTTCAATTTTTGATAAGATGAGATAAGATTTTGATTGAGATTTTCATTCAAAAATAATGATTTACCAAAATCTGTAAAAAGACATTGAACATTAAAGACTTAAAAAATCGGCTTTTGGCCCCTAACGGCCCCTAATTTTAGGAATCAGCCCTTTTTCATCATATCATCTTAAAGCTCTTAGGATTTTGATCACTTTTTGTTCAACAGCTGTTCAGAAATTCTTTTTCGTTTTTGAGCTATTAGCAAAAGAAATATTTAGGGGCCAACCCTTCAACTCCTTAATGGGGACATTTAGCAAAAATTGAAAGGTTGCATATTGTTCAGAACATTATTTTGAACATCTTTTGTTCAATATTGCTTATCAAAATATTTCTCCCTTTCGAGATATAAAGCATCAAAGATTTAGCATTCTGGTCCCTTGTGGCCCCTAATTATGTACCATACGAGATAAAAACCAAAATATATAGTTGTAGATGGTTGAGATAAACATCTTTGCTTCAGTAATGTATTACAAAATATAAACTAATAAAGAGTTATCGATTGAAGACTTTTGGCCCCTCTTGGCCCCTAATTCGAGTGCCCAGTCCCTTTTTCGGGATCTCATCTTAACGATCTTAAGATTCTGAACATTTTTTGTTCAACAGCTGTTCAGAAATCCTTTTTGTTTTTGAGCTATTAGCAAAAGAAATATTTAGGGGCCAACCCTTCAACACCTTAATGGGGACGTTTTTTTTAAAAAATGAAAGGTTGCATATTGTTCAGAACATTATTTTGAACATCTTTTGTTCAATATTGCTTATCAAAATATTTCTCCCTTTCGAGATATAAAGTGTCAAAGATTTAGCATTCTGGCCCCTTGTGGCCCCTAATTATCTAACATACGACATAAAAATCATAATATATAGTTGTAGATGGTTGAGACAAACATCTTTGCTTCAGTAATGTATTACAAAATATTGACTGATAAAGAGTTATCGATTGAAGATTTTTGGCCCCTCTTGGCCCCTTATTTGAGTGCCCAGCCCCTTTTTCTTGATCTCATCTTAAAGATCTTAAGATTTTGAACATTTTGTGTTCAACAACTGTTCAGAAATTCTTTTTAGTTTTTGAGCTATTAGCAAAAGAAATATTTAGGGGCCAACCCTTCAACTCCTTAATGGGGACATTAAGCAAAAATTGAAAGGTTGCATATTGTTCAGAACATTATTTTGAACATCTTTTGTTCAATATTGCTTATCAAAATATTTCTCCATTTCGAGATATAAAGCATCAAAGATTTAGCATTCTGGCCCCTTGTGGCCCCTAATTTTGTACCATACGAGATAAAACCATAATATATAGTTGTATATTGTTGAGATAAATATCTTTGCTTCAGTAATGTATAACAAAATATTAACTGCTAAAAAGTAATCAATGGAAGACTTTTGGCCCCTCTTGACCCCTAATTTGAGTGCCCAGCCCCTTTTTCTTGATCTCATCTTAAAGCTCTTAAAATTTTGAACACTTTTTGTTCAATACCTATTCAGAGATTCTTTTTCGTCTTCGAGTTATTTGCAAAAGAAATATTTAGGGGCCAGCCCTTCAACTCCTTAATGGGGACGTTAAGCAAAAAATTAAATATTGCATATTGTTCAGAACATTAATTTGAACATCTTTTGTTCAATATTACTTATCAAAATATGTCCCACTTTTGAGATATAAAGCGTCAAAGATTTAGCATTCTGGCCCCTTGTGGCCCCTAATTATGTAACATATGAAATAAAGATCATAATATGCAGTTGTAGATTGTTAAGATTAATATTTTTGCTTCAATATTGTATAGCAAAATATTGATCATTTAAGAGTTATCGAAAAAAGACTTTTAGCCCCTTTTGGTCCCTAATGTGATGAGTCAGCACTTTTATCATATCATTTTAAGGATCTTGTCATTCTGCACAAATTTTGTTCAATATGTTTTAACAAAATAATTTTACTTTAAAAGATATGACGCAAAATGTCTTTAAAAATCAGACATGATTCGAGTCCTAAATTTTGATCCCTACCGAGCTTCCATACTAGGCACTTCCAGAAAATATCATGACCCAGGTGCAACATGGCAACATGTCCTCTAACATCCCTGAAAATTTCAGCTTTCTAGCTTGAGCCGTTTTTGAGTAATGCGACAGACACGGAGGTCCTCTAAATTTCGATCAAAGGGCGATAACTCTCGACTGAAAAGGAATTTCCAAAAAAGGACTCGCCGGTATTAACTTCAGATGTCAATGCATTAACCATGAAAATTTGGATAAAATCGAACGAGCCATCTCGGAGAAATCCTCTGCACAAATTTTGTAAGAATAAAAATAATAATAAAGGGGAAAAAGAAACCGAAGAATAATAGAAGGGTCTTCCGCTGAAGACGGAAGACCCTAACTAGTGCTAATTGTAACGGGGACCGTTACAGATGTTCCCCAAACGCTCCCCAACTCCCTTTCATAGTCATATTCCCTGTAAGCATAATTAAATAAGACAAACTCTATGCATTTAAGATTTTAACAACGTTTACCCAGAAGCGTACCATGTTCATTCAAATTTTATCATTGCACACTTGCGCATGTGAATGCATGTGCGTAATGACATATCATATTGTCTACACAATCTATATATTTTAATATGCTAAATTTTAAACATTTAATCCAAATGTATTAAAAAAAAGCTCATTCAAGTGTTTTATGATATTACCCATTTCACGTTCACGCACGTGCATACATGAGCATGGTGACGATACTTTCTTGTAGAAGTCTATTACATCTGTCTACGTTCCAAATCCCACCTCGTTTGGTTGAAAACCAAGGGAGTTATACCTGTTTAAATTTCAGCCAATCAGATTGCAGCGCACGTACATGCACATGTACGCATGTGCATATTGACCATACCTTCTTGTAGAAGTCCATTATATATATCTATGTTCCAAATCCCATCCTGTTTGGTTGAAAACCAAAAGAGTTATAGCTATTTAAAGTTTCAGCCAATCAGATTGCAGCGCACGTACACGCACGTGTATGCATGTGCATGGTGACCATACCTTCTAGTAGAAGTTTATTATATCTATCTATGTTCCAAATCCCATCCTGTTTGGTTGAAAACCAAGGGAGTTATAGCTATTTAAAGTTTCAGCCAATCAGATTGCAGCAGACGTGCATACACGTGTTTTCAAGATAAATGCTATATATCCTGTTGTGGGAAATCTTAATTCATGGCTATGTTCAAAATTTCAAAGGATTTCGTCAAAAAACAAGAAAGATATAGAGACTTTAGTTTCAGCCAATCAGAGCAAAGCGCACGTGCATGCGCGTGAGATGATCAGATCTTGCTATTTTGACCATGTCATATTGTCTATGCCACAAATATATCCTTATATTATGAGTTTCAAAGCATTTCATCAAAAATGTGAAAAGTTATGCCTATATCAATTAAACCGGTCATTTCAAGTGTTGCACGTGCGCGCTCTTGCAAGCACGTGCGCGCAAAATGACCTTTGTTCGGCAAATCTACATAACATGTCTATTAACCCTAAAAACATTTTACCTTAGTCAGATGTGTAGTTTACAAGATCACTCAAGTACAAAATTTTCCCAGGAAGAAAAATAATAATAATAATAAGAAACAGAGTAAAAACAATATGTTCCCCAACTTCGTTTGGGGAACATAATAATAAGAAACAGAGTAAAAACAATATATTCCCCAACTTCGTTTGGGGAACATAATAAGAGCAGAGCAAGCAAGGATCTGTAAAACATCTGAGGTGCGATAACCTATGTTTGCATATACCGTTGTAGTTATGCACGAATACCGGATAGGCCCAAATCAGCGAAATTAAAAAAAAAATATTTAACTCGTTATAAGGTGCTATTATATCGTTAAAACGACTTACTTATCACTATGAAACAACTTAGTTATTTTGTTTTAACGTCTTTCAAAAAATAATAATTAAATGCTAAAATAATTTTCTATTTACACATATAAAAATATTTTAATTTTCTCATTGCAGTGCATCCTAGCAAAACATCCAAAGATAGATGAAGACATAGACCCTCTCTGTACTTCAGTAAATAATCAGGATTTGTGTGGGCATGAAAGTGGAAGTCTGGATTCCGGAAACAAAAAAGGTAAATGTAGAAGTAAGGATATCAATGAATGTTTGAGTCGTTCATACAAATACAGTTGTGCGTTTTAGCTGCTCAATAAAGTTTATAGCGATAGACAAAAAATCAAATTCAAATAACGTCTTTTAATGTACGGAATCGAGATATCAATACCTTGATTGACTCAATCACTGAAGAGAACGTGAATTTGTATATATATTTTGTTAATTCTTTGATATTCTATGTGAACTATTTACATTTGAATATAGATATGTTCAAACTCTTTCGGTGATAAAGTAGAACACGTTCTAAATTGTAAGCATTTAAAGTACATTGCTTTTTATTTACAATGTATTTTACAACGTTTGCAATCTATGACACTATGTATCATTACAACCTTATCAAAATAAACTTGTTTTATGTATCCAACAGATCCGTTATCAGATTTAACAAAAGATCAGTGTGTCGTTCTCTACACCTTGTTCTTATGTATGGTTAACATGGGTATAATCATGATAGATGACGAGGTTTCTATGGGTGACATTGATTTCCGGAAGATAGTGAAGGAGCTGGAGAACAAAGGACTGGTGGAGTCTTACAGTTATGACCACAAAAAGTACATCCCATATAGTAAACAATCTATGATAATAAAATCCTACAGAGAAAACTGCCTGCTGGGTGATATAGACAAGGACTTCTTCATACAGGTAGCCTCAGATAAATCCATAGAAACATATGCTAAGATGTACTGTCTTCATGGAGATGGATCCCGAGAATCTGAAGACAGCGGTCCTATAACAACGATGAGACTGATTGTGGAGGGTCGCGGACACGGGTTACCCGACTCTGTAAAAGGTACATGTACATACATGTATTTTTGATAAATCATATCATTGTTATATAAATCTAATTCATCTTTTTTTTAAATTTCATTTTATAGAATAAAAAATGCAATATCATTTTCTTTCAACGTTAATTAAAGATTGATTCCATGTACACATGATATATATGTAATTAATTATTTTTTGTACATTTTTGTACACTGAGAACATAAGCAATGTTGAGTTTTGTTGGTCAAATATACGTGGATGGGGGTCCCTCTTTCTTCTCTCTGAATAATAAATCATACACTGCTCCTCTTACAGTGTATGTAAGATTTTAATAAACTGTATATTAAACATCAACAAGAAAGACCTAAAAAAAACTAATCAATAGTTTCTCGGGCCAAAAAATTCAGAATTCAATGCAACAGGCAGACTTTTATAAAGCAGGTTTTACACCTTTCTTAAGTCATTTGTTCAATAAAATGTTATGATAATGTTCTCTAAATTAGTTATAATATGTATTCAACTTTAAATAATGTTATTCCAAACAATTATTTAAAAGTTAATTCATAAGATACATGTATATGATGGACTTTTACTATACAAACTATTTGGTATACAGAAGACGATCAAAATTCTACTATAATCCATTTTCTGTAGCTAAATCTTTGTTTAAAACTTAAGGACAGCTGATACGGCACTAATGATGCACATAAAAAAATTAACATCCTGAGTGTGATTCCGGAAAAAGTTCTTTGTAATAGAAACTATCTTAGGGACAAATCTATACCCTGGTCTTCATATTGTGTATTCAAATTAAGTCAATAAAACATTAATTTAAAGAAAAAAAGATTTTGACAAAACATTATTTCTGGCCATTGATAAATATAGACGTGTCTTAAAAGCTATATTAAATATTCACAATTTCGATGATATAGTTTCAGTACTTTGTGGTTCATTCATGGTAGGAGCCCCATGTCACTCGCGTACGATTTCTGGTCATTTCGATATTGGGAAAAATCGAAGACTTGAAAAATCGTATATTCTACAGACGAGAGGACCCTTTAAATACTCAGTATCACATTCATTCAACGTCTATTCCAATTTTTCTCTGGTGGAAATATCCTACTTTAATTAACAATGGTACTAACACAAAAAGTACATTTTTGTTTTCTATGTAGGTGAAGTTCCTGTATGTCTCATAGATAACGAGAAGGAGTTTGATATGTTTGTAAAGTTTTGGTGCAAAGCAAGAGATACAGATCCTATTACATTGTCAGACCAAATTCCTGATGAAAAAATTAAAAACTTTTATTCTGCTTTTACCATCCTTTCGGAAATAAAAAATGGTGAGTATTCTCTATGAATATGGCGACCTATCTATTTGCAGCTACATGACTTTACTTATTATATAAATTTAAACATAAGCTCAAGTGAGCTTTTCTGATCACATGTTGTCCGGCGTCAGTCTGTCCGTCTGTCTGTCTGTCTGTAAACTTTTCACATTTTCGACTTCTTCTCAAGAACCGCTAGACCAATTTCTTTCAAACTTGGTACAAAGTATCCTTGGGTGAAGGGGATTCAAGTTTGTTTAAAGGAAGGGCCACACCCTCATTCAAGGGGAGATAATAGGGAATGAATGAAAATTTGGTGGCATATTTAAAAAATCTTCTTCTCAAGAACCACTGTGCCAGGAAAGATGAAACTTATGGGGAAAGATCCTCAGGTAGTGTAGATTCAAGTCTGTTCAAATCATGACCCCCAGGGGTAGGGCGGGGCCAAATGGCCGACCAAAGTTTTACATAGAAATATATAGGAAAATTCTTTAAAAATCTTCTTTTAAAGAATACCAAAGCCATAATTCATCATATTTATATATGGGAACATGCTCAGGTATTGTAGATTTAAATTTGTTCAATTCATGACCCCCGGGGGTAGGGCGGGGCCAAAATGGCCGACCAAAGTTTTACATAGAAATATATAGGAAAATTCTTTAAAAATCTTCTTCTCAAGAATGACAAAGCCATAATTCATCATATTTATATATGGGAGCATGTTCGGGTAGTATAGATTCAAATTTGTTCAAATCATGACCTCCGGGGGTAGGGCTGGGCCAAAATGGCCGACCAAAGTTTTACAAGAAATATATAGGAAAATTCTTTAAAAATCTTCTTCTCAAGAATGACACAGCCATAATTCATCTTATTTATATGGAAGCATGTTCAGGTATTGTAAATTCAAGTCTGCTCAAATCATGACCCCCGGGGGTAGGGCGGGGCCAAAATGGCCGACCAAAGTTTTACACAGAAATATATAGGAAAATTCTTTAAAAATCTTCTTTTCAAGAATGACAAAGCCATAATTCATCATATTTATATATGGGAGCATGCTCAGGAAGTGTAGATTCAAGTTTGTTCAAATCATGACCCCCGGGGTTAGGGCGGGGCCAAAATGGCCAGCCAAAATTTTACATAGAAATATATAGGGAAAATCTTTAAAAATCTTCATCTCAAGAATGACAAAGCCATAATTCATCATATTTATATGGGAACATGCTCAGGTAGTGTTGATTTAAATTTGTTCAAATCATGACCCCCGGGGGTAGGGCGGGCCTAAATGACCGACTTTAATTTTACGTAGAAATATATATAGGATAATTCTTTAAAAATCTTCTTCTCAAGAATGACAAAGCCATAATTCATCATATTTATATGGGAGCATGCTCGGGTAGTATAAATTCAAATTTGTTCAAATCATGACCTCCCGGGGTAGGGCGGGGCCAAAATGGCCGACCAAATTTTTTCATAGAAATATATATTAAAATTCTTTAAAAATCTTCTTCTCAAGAATGACACAGCCATAATTAATCATATTTATATGGAAGCATATTCAGGTATTGTAGATTCAAGTCTGTTCAAATCATGACCCCCGGGGGTAGGGCGGGGCCAAAATGGCCGACCAAAGTTTTACATAGAAATATATAGGAAAATTCTTTAAAAATCTTCTTTTCAAGAATGACAAAGCCATAATTCATCATATTTATATATGGGAGCATGCTCAGGAAGTGTAGATTCATGTTTGTTCAAATCATGACCCCCGGGGGTAGGGCGGGGTTAAAATAGCCGACCAAAGTTTTACATAAAAATATAGGAAAATTCTTTAAAAATCTTCTTTTCAAGAATGACAAAGCCATAATTCATCATATTTATATATGGGAGCATGCTCAGGTAGTGTAGATTCAAATTTGTTCAAATCATGACCCCCGGGGGTAGGGCAGGGCCAAAATGGCCGACCAAAGTTTAACATAGAAATATATAGGAAAATTCTTTGAAAATCTGCTTCTCAAAAATGACAAAGCCATAATTCATCATATTTATATGGAAGTATTCTCAGGTAGTGTAGATTCAAGTTTGTTCAAATCATGACCCCCGGGGGTAGGGCGGGGCCAAAATGACCGACCAAAGTTTTTCATAGAAATATATAGGAAAATTCTTTAAAAATCTTCTTCGCAAGAATTAAAAAGCCATAATTCATCATTTTTATATGGAAGCATGTTCAGGTAGTGTAGATTCAAGTCTGTTCAAATCATGACCCCCGGGGGTAGGGCGGGGCCAAAATGGCCGACCAAAATTTTACATTGAAAGATATAAGAAAATTCTTTAAAAATCTTCTTCTCAAGAATGCCAAAGCCATAATTCATCATATTTATAGGGAAGCATGCTCAGGTAGTGTATATTGAAGTTTGTTCAAATCATGACCCCCGGGGGTAGGGCGGGCCAAAATGGCCGACCTAAATTTTACGTAGAAATATATATAGGATAATTCTTTTAAAGTCTTCTTCTCAAGAATGACAAAGCCATAATTCATCATATTTATAAGGAAGCATGCTCAGGTAGTGTAGATTGAAGTTTGTTCAAATCATGACCCCCGGGGGTAGGGCGGGCCAAAATGGCCGACCTAAATTTTACGTAGAAATATATATAGGATAATTCTTTAAAAATCTTCTTCTCAAGAATGACAAGGCCATCATTCATCATATTTATAAGGAAGCATGCTCAGGTAGTGTAGATTGAAGTTTGTTCAAATCATGAGCCCCGGGGGTAGGGCGGGGCCAAAATGGCCGACCTAAATTTTACGTAGAAATATATATAGGATAATTCTTTAAAAATCTTCTTCTCAAGAATGACAAAGCCATCATTCATCATATTTATATGGGAGGATGCTCAGGTATTGTAGATTCAAGTTTGTTCAAATCATAACCCCCGGGGGTAGGGCGGGCCTAAATGACCGACTTTAATTTTACGTAGAAATATATATAGGATAATTCTTTAAAAATCTTCTTCTCGAGAATGACAAAGCCATAATTCATCATATTAATATGGGAGCATGCTCAGGTAGTGTCGATTCAAGTTTGTTCAAATCATGACCCCCGAGGGTAGGGCGGGGCCACAATAGGGAATCCAAATTTTACATGGAAATATATAGAGAAATTCTTTAAAAATCTCTTTCTCAAGAATGACAAAGCCATAATTCATCATATTTATATGGAAGTATGCTCAGGTGGTGTAGATTCAAGTTGGTTCAAATCATGACCCCCGGGGGTAGGGCGGGCCAAAATGGCTGACCAAAGTTTAACATAGAAAGAGGAAATATCTTTAAACATCTTCTCAAGAATGACAAAGCCATTATTCATCATATTTATATGAAAGTATGCTCAAGTAGTGTAGATTCAAATTTGTTCAAATCATGACCCCCAGGGGAAGGGTGGGGCCAAAATGGCTGACCAAAGTTTTAAAAGATATATATATAAAAATTCTTTAAAAATCATTTTCTAAAAATAGCAAATCCATGATTGGTCATGGGACTACTTTTGGAATTTAAGCTTAAAATTTATAATAGAAAGCCATTTTCTATTTTTTCCTACCCTTAGTGCTCAGGTGAGCGATGTGGCCCATGGGCCTCTTATTTCTTCATTGGCATTGGTTTTGACCTCAGAAAAAAAGGTTATTATCGGTAGTAAAAAAGAACATTTTTGAATGGGTTTACAGGATTCGAAATTCAATAAATGAATCTTATTCCTTTTTTTCTCTACTGGTCAGAGTCCAGATGAGTTTTTGCGATAGTACGGGGTTCGTCGTCCGTTAGTCTGACTGTAACAAATATTTCGAAATGCTACTCCTCCTACAGTTTTGGTCTGATGCGAATATAACTTGGAGCACAAATACATATAGACTAAACTAATGTATAATTCATATAATCTATGAATCAAATTTTGATTTTGATAAACGGCGTTGTCATGATAACAAAAAAACATAAATCTCTGTGAAATACTTTAAAATGTCCTACCTCCTACACTTTTAGTCTGATTTGAATATAATTTGACACACTAAGACTACAGTTAGACACTTAACTTTATCTATCGATTTTCGATTTCAATTAGGCTTTTCTGTGGTCCCCGGTAACATGTACTTTTCAAATTTTGAACATTTATCAAAAGCCTTAAAATGAAATTATATTATTACCTAATGTCTTTATTATATCTATAAATCATTTATAAATGTCAACTAATATATATATACAAAGCATAATAAGCTACTTGTTGTTTTTGATGCCCTTTGATTTTCATGAATACGCGGGTATGTTAAGGAAGCATATAAGTAATTTCTCGGGAAATTTAGACTTTTTGAAGAAAATTTAGTTTAATGAATTAACAAAACCACTGATAAACGTAAACTGTTATTTACTATTGCATACAGATAAAAGCGAGTCTAACGCAAAGACGTGCATCACCGCCACGGCATCACGTGACTTCTATTAATAGCAAAATTTTCCTTAATAAAAAGGCTTACAGAACAACAATACCCCGGAGTTTGATAATATCTTTGAGTATGTAATATAGCTGAAAAACATCTATTTTGTCCAAAAAGTGCTGCTAGAATCCAGCTATCTTGTCCATAAAATATTTATTCCACACATTCGCACGAAACCTTACCCTTTGTTCTGAATTTTATACATATGAATCGAGATTTTTCTTACAACCATGCTTAACTCGGGATTCTAGCAGCACTTTCCAAGTTTGTCAAAACGTAAACTTTCAATCTGTGTAAATCGTTTGTTTTGAAATATCCAGCTTATTGTTGTTTTGTTGCATTTTTTGGTCAAGAATGACGGACGATAGGCCGACCGGGATACGTAATATAGCTGACTGTTTTCGAAAGAGAACATAATCGATGAAAATAAATAAGCATACCTGTTTAATTTATTGAACTCCATATGAATTTAACACAATATTTCCGATATTTCCTTTTAAAATTCATTTTACGTATCTTTGAACATGCCGTCTTAGCCA